TTGGATTAATCGAGGTCAACTCGTTGGGCCAGTTTACTCGGCGACGGTCTCCGGCATGTGTGAAGGGACAGTCACGTTGTGTCGATGCAACACCTAGCGCTATTTAGCAGTGATTCAAAGTTCTTCCAGGATGTTGGGTTACATCCCATCTTCGCCTCAGTTATTTGTCGTCCTTTTTTCCAACCTCCCGCCCACCCTGGCGATGTGGTGTGGCACCTCACGTTCCGTGTGAGGTTGGCCCCATCACATTGGCCGAGGATCACACGTGTTTAGTGTCATCCTCCGGCCCACGACCCAACTCCGGGGAGGAAGGGAGCCGGGTAAAACGAAATCAAAACCCCTACCATCAATTGAATTGATTCAATTCGCTTGCGAACAATCGGTCTGACCGATCGGTCTGACCGATGGTTCCTTGTTCCTAATTTAGGAATCCTAAATTCAAGGAGCGTTTCTTGTGAAGTAGAAACCCCCACCACTACATCCATAACACCGGAATTATACACGGGCGCATGGCACTCATTTACTCTTATCCATTTGTGAGTATTGCAAACACATCACTTATGAGAACAAAAATTTAATAGCGTGTCTGCCACCACAAGTTGTGCCTCGCATGTAGAGAAGTTTATACTAGTTTTATCAATACTAGTGATTCAGCAACTATCTGCGTTCAGATTCTGGACTCGAGTAGGTTCGAGTAGTCGAGAAGAGAGCCTTCTAATGGGCCTCTCGAGGTTTGTCGCTACTGGAGAGCTCAGCTTTCAAACTTGATGATGGCGTAACGCTACGCTACATAAGACTGGTACCTACTTATCCGTACAGCCTGTGCGGGGCTCGTACAGCACGGGACGTAACGCCCTGTACCGTACAGGCTGTACGGTACAGGCGCTATTCTGAGTCGGAACATTTGAGGCCGGAGAATGAGACCCTACAAAGACGGTGCCTAGCTCAGAGAACGATAATAGAGAAAGTGAGTGACAGCCCCCAGCTGTCAGCCCGATCGTCCTCCAGACCAAACGAACCTTTTCGACACCATATCAGTGATATGGATGCTGTCAACGCGATGATTCTCACATACTCTGGGGATCATCGCATTGTCAAGATAAACTCTTGCCGTGAAAATCCTGAGCGATTCCGCCCGATTGTAGGCTGAAGCTCACCAATTTGGGCACATCGCAGTTGTCTACAATATAGCGATTCAACTTGTGGCCGGCTTCACCCTTTTGGAATGACTGTGCAAAATATTCGGCTTCCACCTGGAGTTTATTTCGGGGAGCAACGCCGAATCGACAATGTATTGTGTGTATAAGTAGCCACTCGCTCGCGTCTCTCAGAACGAATGATACTGGAACATTACAGAATACGCATGATATGGAAAAGTCTGATGCCGAATGATACCGTCTCTGATGAGCAATCTAATGTAATATCCACACGACTAGATTGATAGTCCACCAAATAAAAAAAGCTAACCGCGAATGATCTGTGAGCCAAACCAAGTTGTCCTGAGTAATGAGGGAACACTTCGTTGTGACCACATCCCCACAGATGGTGATATAACAATGAGTAAATAGTCAGTACCCAACGGCAGAAAAGTAGGGTCATGTTGGGAGAATAATCAAAACAAAGCTTCATCACTTTGCTCAAGGCTGTCCAATATACTTACCAAGCCCATGGCTCATGACAAGAATTTTACCAGTGAGACCCGGGAAAGGCATAAGAACGCCATATAGTGTGTGCGAGTCGTAATCCAATGGGAAGAGGCCAGAAACGTCTTCGTACTGCGATTGAGTAAGGTGAATAGCGAACACATCGAGGATATCCGTGCCTGGCACATATTCCCAGTGGGCTCTCAGCGGACCGACATTTGCATTTGCCACCACCATGATGACAGTGTTGTCCCCCCTGAAGTTGAGAACCAGGAAGGCGGTGTGCCAAGGCTTGCTCGTGAAGAATAGACCGTGAAGATCGCCGAGCACGTTGTTGTGGAAGCTCAGAACGATGAAGATCAAATTGATGCTTGAGATGAACATGAAGCCGATTCACTTGGAGTCTCCGATTTGAAGCACAACGATCTGCACGCGTGAAGTAGTCTTCATAGCTACGGTGCTCCACGGTGGAGCCTCTCCACCGATCATGGAGCGGCTCCACCGTGTAAGACACGGCGTGTTCCTTGTGTGAACTCGGTCCCGCTACCGAGAGTAACTTTGATGTGAAATGGATTTCGTGGAAGATGGGACCAGTGGGTCGCACACGACAAGAATATATCGCATCACGCGATACACGGACCGCTCCCGAGCTGGACACGCCTGGTATCAGCCGGTGTCACCAGGTTGCGGAGTCACTATCGCGGATAGTTATTGCACGCGAAATCCGATGGATTCGATTCATTCGTGTGTCTACCTAGCAATAGGCCGTGGAAGATGCGCAATAAGTTTTATGAAGAGATTGTGAATCCCATCAGTGAATGGTGAGAGGCTGTAGACTTTTGGGCATCATTAGCGATGGATGATTTCCAGCCAACGAAAGAGTGATGACTATATATCTGCGTATGATCCGGGGTCCTGAAAATTCGTGCCCGAATGCAAATTTTCCGCCTGTCTCCTGATGAAGCGACGCAGAGATTCAAGCTCTGAGATTGTGCATCATTCCAGCGTACAGTGGAGAATGTTTAGTCTTGGATAGTCTCCAATGGAGACTATGGAACTCAACATCACGTCATTATTGAGCATTAGATTAGAGTCTTACTTCAAGACAGATGGTAGAGAGTGGCTGAAGAGTAGAGGGGGTTGGTATACATCGCAGTGCTTGTCAGTTGAGGAAGATCCTCAGCCGGCAAGCGCTCAGTCACTATAAGTATCACCTAGGTGTTATTATAGTGCTCCTCTACTCGAGCAAAAAAATATGTATCACTTGATATAGTTGGTCTTAAGTATTATCCACAATAGCCTCACTAGCTTGAATTTGTGCGACTTATCGCACCACTCAGGCTCTTGTGTTCTCATTCAGTTCAGTGTGTGGCTTGTCGCCCATATTCTTGCCGCTTGGCTCGTTTAAACGCCCCTTCTGCTATGCAGAGCTCAACTTACTCTGCTCACGGGAGTCGCAATTTGATTACAAGATGAAACCTATCGGTCGAATGGTAACGCCGCTGATCTTGGGAAATTCTCCATCGGCAACTCCACAGAAACATTGCCCCGAGAACTTCGCCTCAAATTGAGCTGATCAACCCAAGAAAGAGGAGCCTCCAATATAAGAGGAGACTGCTTGTGACGAAAAGTGTTCGTCGAACACTCGGTGGTTCACGGGAAATACAGAGCACATGTCGCATGAAATAATATGCAGCTCATGATGTAGCCAGTCGATTCGACGGGAACAAACACTTCCGCCAAGGTTGGAGGAAATAATTTTTTCGTAATTTTCGGAAAATGACGGGCGAATAAATATGTGGAGAAATAGAAAGCTTTTGTCAACTTGCGATTCTCGACATGGGATTCCGTTGTTCTCCACAGAACCCTCCTGAGAATGGTCTGCGTGGGACCGTAAATAACCATTCGAGGTTCGAAGAACCCGCACTCCAGGCGAGAGTGACGGAAAAACGGAAAGTTCATACCTGGCCGGATTGAAAGACACAAATAAGGAAGCTTTGTCAAGAAAGTAGACGGAAATGGTTACCGGCCCTGTTTTACGGGGTTGCGAAAGATGCAAATGATTATGTGGTCGCCACAGTTTATTCAGAGATCTACGATAGTGCTTAGTAAGCTGATCTTAGTAGATAGTGTATCGGGAGGTATGAGTAGTCAAGCGCGAGTCATCAGTCAGAGTCTCTGCCCCAGAGAGCACCGAGTTGACTCAGAGTCAATGACTCTTTCGCAATCGAGGCAAGCAAGGGCGACAGGCAGATTAGCTATATGTTGCTCGCAGAAGCAACCGTGTGTGGCAAATGCTCTCGCACTTGGGACGGGGATGTAGCACTAGCAACGCGAGTGATGTAGGTCTTATAGCAACAGTAGTTGGCTTGGACGAAACTGAAGGCTGCTGCTTCCAAAGGCTTGAATCAAAGGGGGAGATTAAAGCCAAACTGAACTTGTTCTTATGACTTCGAATCTGTGGGAGACAGAGACGGCTTCAATTGACTCAGAAACGGATAGATAATCGCACGCACGCCTCAGGAGATAGAATCTGTCTCCTGAGGCGATCCCAGTAGTACTGGGCGGCCAGTACCAAATTGGTACTACCAAT